TTTTACATGCTGGTGGTGAGGGAGCACTGATTTAAGCTGTTCCTGCTCAGCTCCCTCGCCAGGATGTCACTCCAGAAAGATCACAGCTCCCTCGCCGCCTATTTTGCACACCCACTCCCCCCCTTGCCTGCCTGCCCTCCATGCTGCATGCCTGCCTAACCAGTGGCCAGCCCAGCAGCCCCACTGGACACCAGGTAAAAATCCACCCAGCTCTGCCAAAGGTAGGGAGGCTGTCCAAAAGCTGGACAGTTGGGAGATCTGGCACTTAGGGGCAGTGGCCTGTGACATGTCACCATTCATCTCCAGATTAAAATAGTGGGAGGTTTGGGGTACAGCACAGCAGGAGTGAGGCAACAAGCCAGCCTTTGCTAGTCCAGCACTGTGAATGTTTGTTCATAGGCTGGTGGCCCACAACCTCAGTTTTCTCCAGACCATCAACACAAATATCTGTAAGGTTTTTCTGCACAAAAAAGGCATTTGTTTGTACTTGCTCCCTCCGATCAATAGTTGTCAGCCCAGTCCTCCATGATAAAGGATTTGAAATTATCATGCATAGAATGAAGAACTGAGTCTGGAGTTGGAGCTACTTTACTTTGTTTTTTTTTTACTTTTTTCTTGTTTTTGTTTCCTTCTATTATGGTAATAGTGAGTGAATCCCAAGAGAGATGCTGTTTGCTGGAATGAGAAGAAAGGCAGATGGGATTTTTGAACCATGAAATATATTAATAGAGTAATATGTTCTGTTAATATGAATTCAAATAAATACATACCGTTCATATGAGTTTACTTACTTTGCTACATGTATACTGTTTCACAATAGAATATAAATAATTATATACAGATGAGACTCGCTGGATTATTCACTAAAATGGGAATTGGGGAGAGTGGATGGGGAATTGCAAATTGAAAGTCAAAATAGCCAAAAACGTGCAAATCCATGCAATTTCTCGACAGATCTTGAATTAGTGAATACTTCCTTCAGCGTTGTGCAATATAACACAAACATATCAGAATCACTACCTGTATTAATGAATATACACTCATCATCTTGCAGTGTATGTTATAAATAAAAGGACACTCTACACTCCATAATCGCTAAAGCTCATTGTAGTGATTGTGGTGGTTGATGTCGCCCGAAGCTTTCTCAACCTATCATTGCTATCTAATATTGCACAAATTTCCACTTTAAAAATGAAAATCAGGTATGTGTAATTTTCCCCTTACCAGAGGAGCAGACTATGTGTTCTGTGAAACCAGATTTGGGATTGTCCCACGAAATCCAGAAATGGTGGGTGGTTTTCAAATGATCATGAACTGAATGTGTCTCTTTCACTTTCAGTGGTATTTGCATAAAAAGGTCATCCTGCTTTGTGTTCCGTGTGTAGAAAAGGTGTAAAGCTAAAGGTAGATAGATGTCCGAAAGCTCTCCTTTGCAGGCACAGCCATCATCCTTCTTCAGCACCTGCTAATCATCCACCAGGAGCCCATATGACTGTCAAGCTCTCGTACCTGTGCAAGACTACAAAACAGAGGTCCTTGAACAATCACTCAAAACTGCAGAATCCTCCTTAGACCAACTCATGAGATGAGCAAGCGGATATCAATTGCAGAGGGACAAAAAGAAAAGTGCCAAATTAAAATTTTAAAAAACAATGCGATATAAATTGTCAATGTAAAAACAATGTGATATAAATTGTCAATATAAATTGATAATGTAGAGGTTATACCACTATTTTATCACTAAATGAGTCAATTGAGTTACGTGGGATGTTTCAGCCAATCACACATCACCGTACATGTCTTAATGGTTTCAATGTGCAAGTACTTTTCAAAGCCAATAATAATATGACCTTTAGTAGATTTAATACTGTTTAACAATGTTTAAATGCTATGCTGTAGCTTATTCATCATAGGTCTGGGCATACAGTAGGTTCCCAGATGTAAAACTGCAACTTCCATGATTCATTGCCATTCTAAAAGTTGACAAAGCATCATGTCAGATGAAGTTCTACAACATCTGGAGATCTACTATTTGCCCAGCAGGTCAATAAACAGTCATAGCGATTCAACTACATTAGGAAGAAACCAGTTGCAACACATTGGCTAGAACAGTGACAATTTGTTCACATTACAGTGTATTTGGGTAATGAGAAGGTCACAGTGGACCTTGGAATGGGTGGCAAGTGTGCTGACCAGGCCCTGTGACCTTGCCCAAAAGCTTGCAGTTTGGCACTCTACGGGTATTCCACTGGCTATTTTTAAGAGCATGAAAGAAATCTAAACAGAGAGGTGTAAAAAATTTAATCTTCAGGAAGCTTGAGAGATGAAATCTGTCATTTCGACTCATCTAAAAATTGCCTTAAAGTTATATCCTGTGCTTGAAGGTCAGGAGAGTAATTTAAGAAAGTCATTGTAGTGTCTTCATAAAAATAATGTCCAGGGAGCAATAAATACTGTGTCGCATACACTATATTCAAAGGGCATTATGTTGCCTAATGTGCTAATCTTCCCTATGAATTCTGTCACAGATTGTGCTAACCCATTCATCAAGTAGAGCCACTATTTCATATCTTTATTTTTTTATATATATAGTATAAAAATATAGTGCAGTGTTACATTAAAGGGGGGAAATCACTTCTCCAGGAATTACACCACTGAATAAAACTTAGAAAGTCACCTATACTTTAGTAGTGTCTTTTGTTTCCTGGGATAGTCCATTTTCTTTAATATTGTTTGAACGGTTAGCATGTGACGTCACAGTCCAGGCACAACCAGGACACAATGCAAATAAGAAGAACCATAAAAACATTGTTTCCTGCTTCTTCTCATCCTCTAACTTGATTAAATATTTTTGGATAGGCTTTTGAAATTGTTTAATATTTTAAAAAATATTTTAACATTTTGATATGTTTAAGGCTGGGCCTGTAGTTGTGGGAGGGGCCTGGGTCCCCTTTATAAGGGCCTCCAATCCTCTCTCACTTACCGTTATTGGTCGGACAAGTTGAGTGTGACTACTTCCGGTCACTCAGAAGTCGCCATCTTGCTGTTTCTTACCTGTGTCTTTGTGGTCCTGGTTCCTGGGTTCCTCTCTGTCTGGGTCTACTTACCTGGCTTTTTATCGAACGATTCCAGCCTGCTTCCTCCTCCGACTTGCTCAGAGACTAACCTGGAAGTGTTTGTTTGAACCGTAAGTTAGGCCCAAACAGTTGTGCCTATGTCGCATTAATTTGGCATCATCGCAGTTTGGGTCTGTTCCACTACTTACTTTTTCTTAAATTTTTCGCATGTGTTCGGTTGTTTTCGTATAGACTCGCATGTACGCATATTTTCAGTGCTTTCTTGTAGGGGCTTTCAGGTCTTTCACCCGCACGAACAGGGACCCTCGTTCGACTCCCTTCGCATACATTAACCAATTAATGCTTTTCTTAGGCATTCATATTAAATTCATACAAACTGATTGTTTTACACGTATTGGGAAAGCAGGAACACCAAGGTATAGGATGCTTGTGCGATTCTTCCTGATTGCCTTTTAATTCTAAATCCAGCAGCTACACAAATTGATACAAATTGATTGCATATTTGACTGATTTCAGGTATTACAATTCAATTTAGAATTTTGCATGTTGTAATTTTATGTTGGTAGGAGGTTGAAATTATATTTAATATATTATGCTAATACCTGCTATTTGGTTAACATCTATTTGTTTTTGTTAATGTTATACCTGCAGGTTCATTCAGGAACTGTAAGTCAGGGGCATATTTTCCTGTTTTGACAGCACATCAAGGTTGTCATTTCTAGGTTGGTAGATTTAGTTTCTAGATGTTGGGCTATAAACCTCATCCCGCCTCGATCATTCACGATAATATCTCAATTTATTTAGGTGACAATATTTGTCCAGCCTGTTCAAATCACGAGGTACTCATCATTTTGTGGCAGCATTTTCCAATTATCACCTCGTATCTACCAATTTGGGTAGGTTACTTTATTTTACTTGGGTCCAAGATCTGGCCCACATGTATTACTACATCCTCAGATACTATCCTATGTTTCCATTTTTAGGTTGCTGTGCCTTACTACCCCCACCCTCCTTACTTTACTTCTACTGGGAATCATCATTTCAGGTGGTTCTTGCTGTCTCAGGTACGACATTTACAATTACTAAAGTTCGTAGTTTCTTATTAGCAGAGAGTAATGGCTTTCAGGGATCCAGGTGTCCAAACAGGGTATGTTTTCCGGCCTCTATGCCATAAGCTAGTGGTCCCGCGAGGCCAACACCCATCCTCATATTCGGAGGTATACGCCCATCGGTCCAACACATTCTCCTCTCAAGGTTGCATAGAGAGGGCCTCACGTGTCACTTACATACTATCTTCTGTTTTAATTGTACCCGAGAGGCCAACACCCCGCCACAATGTTTGGTGGCGTTGAAATCCCCTCGGGCCAACGCATAGGTAGAGCCTCTCAAGTCACTTGGCAACTAGCAGGGCCTCACCTGTCAACCCCTTTTAGTATAATCTTTTCACCACTTGGCATTAGCTAGGTAGCCAGTACTAGTTTTTGGTTTCACACTAATGGTAATTATATATTTATTTCAGAATGTATCACATTCCCGAAGTGGTGGAAGAACTGTCCCTTCCCTGCATCCCAGCTATATCTGGTACCCCTGCCCATGGAGTAGATGCACTAGTCAGTGTTCCTTCAGATCATGGACTACTCCGCGTCTTACAGCTAAGCTCTGCAGAAGGTGTATTTTATTCCCACCTATTGCCAGGAAAGAAGAATTATGAAAACTTCTGAATACCACCACCGAAAACTCGGATGTAGGGGAAGGGTCTAGTGGGTCCCAGCAGCCTAATGTCCATGCCATGATGACCTCATTATTGTCTTCTGTTGGACTTATTAATAATAGACTGGAGAAATTAGAATCAGTATGTTCCTCTAATTTGCCTGCTGGGCCTACCAATCTTATTTCAGCTGGTTCATCTTCCACACCGGGTAATTCGCTTGTTCCACTGAAGGTCCCTCAACCCATCGCATATGGTCTCGGCTAATCTCAAGAAAGACATCCTGGGGGGCAAGGATGTTAACCTGGTCTCACTCCTAATTGCCTCCCAGGATTACATTGAGAACAGGACATATGCATATAGGGATATATCAGTGGTGCTGAGAGCTAGAGACCCTCAATTGAACAAAAAACTGTCAATACCTGAATTTGTACTAGCCTTGTGGTTTTATAGGGATGTGTATTGCTCAGTATGTCCTGAGAAATGAGAGGAATTGGACGTGTTCATGGCTGCAGCTCTGACTCAGTTTAACTACAATATGGATTTGAGTAGAATCGACACGCTCAACAACTCGGCCCCTTACACTATGACAAAATCAGCCAAAGGTATCAAGGATAAGCTGGGTGAGGACATTGTCTTTCTAGGCAAGTCCCAGATTTGTAATAATTTTAATGCTGGGACTTGTGAGTTCAGTGTGCGCTTACAGTTTCCAGGGCTCATGCCAAATCTATGTGTCCTAATAAAATGTTCCATAAACCTTACTGCACTTGCATTAATGTTACGTATTTTGCTGAATTATTACGATACCAATGCTTACAATATTTGGTTACATTTCTTACCAATGGATTGTTACAAGGCTTTCACACAGGTATCATACACATCCATCTAGTACGCTGCAATGCAATAATTTGCAGGCGGCACTAGCAGATCCAGAGCCAGTGGATGAACTAATCAAGACTGAGTTGGAACAGGATGTTTTCAGGACGTTTAGGTCCCCTCCTTTCACTTCATGGAGAACAAATCCTACTGATATAGTCACTGGTAAATTTTCACAGATACACAGACTGATCATTGACCTATTGGCACCACATTCCTCCATGGTCCTTACTCTTAACTCCCTCATACCCTCTGAAAAATTCTCTCTGCAATACTCCACCATTGGCAATGCCATCTGGGCCATTCTGGCTGCTGGGACAGGTGCCTGGCTCAGTAAAACGGATATTGTCAATGCATTCAAATTACTTCCCATCCACCCCTCACATCTAATGAGCATTCAACACTACATGCTCTTACAACACCCTAATAAAACAATATTCCTGTCATCATACCAAATCAAAACCTTGCTGAAAGGAATCCAAAAATCTGACATGACTTTTCCCTCTAAAAGACTACCCATCTATAGTAAACTATTCCAATCATTATCCAATTTGTTAGGTACGTCACCTTTCAAACATATAACTAGTGATGTCGCGAACCCGAAATTTTCGGTTCGCGAACGGCGAACGCGAACTTCCGCAAATGTTCGCGAACCGGCGAACCGCCCGAAACGCCATTGACTTCAATGGGGAGGCGAATTTTAAAACACACAGGGACTCTTTCTGGCCACAATAGGGATGGAAAAGTTGTTTCAAGGGGACTAACACCTGGACTGTGGCATGCCGGAGGGGGATCCATGGCAAAACTCCCATGGAAAATTACACAGTTGATACAGAGTCTGGTTTTAATCCATAAAGGGGCAGAAATCACCTAACATTCCTAAATCACAATCAATATGGATTGACACCTGACATATGACATATTGACACCTTGACATATGGATTGACACCTGTCCTCAGAGCCCCTGATGCACACGGACACAGAGCAGAATAGGGAATGTTACCCCTACATCGGGTCACTTGGCAGATATGGATTGACACCTTGTTACAAACTGCTATTTGTAACGGGCCCTTTAAATGGCAAATTGCCCTGTTTCCCTGGGTTGTGGAGAAGCCTCTTTGCCAGCCTCCTCCCGCATGACTATGGCCCCTGGGAGATTGTGAAAATGTATGCACTTTTATTTGGTGTGTATGGCCCTTTAAGGCTGTCGGTGGGCATATTGGGGCTTATGGACTCTTTATGTGACTGGTGCTGGCCTTTAAACACCTTTTTTGGGACATCAGGAAGATTGGGACACTGCCCCTTTAAGGCCGTGTCCCCAGACTTGTTGGGGACACGGCCCCTTTAAGACGGTGTCCCCTGTGTCCCCAGACCTGGTGCAAACCCTTTGTGCCTGCCTTGCTATTTCCCACTTGGTTCAGTAAATGGGAAATTATTTCAGCTGCAGAGACCAAGTCCCATTCGGCGATGGGACTTAGTCTTTTTTTCAGCCGTTTTTTTCAGCCTTATTTCAGCTGCAGAGACTAAGTCCCATTCGGCGATGGGACTTAGTCTTTTTTTCAGCCTTATTTCAGCTGCAGAGACTAAGTCCCATTCGGCGATGGGACTTAGTCTTTTTTTCAGCCGTTTTTTTCAGCCTTATTTCAGCTGCAGAGACTAAGTCCCATTCGGCGATGGGACTTAGTCTTTTTTTCAGCCGTTTTTTTCAGCCTTATTTCAGCTGCAGAGACTAAGTCCTATTCGCGATGGGACTTAGTCGTTTTTTCAGCCCCGTTTTTTTCAGCCTTATTTCAGCTGCAGAGACTAAGTCCCATTCGCCATGGGACTTAGTCGTTTTTTCAGCCTGAAATAGACCGACCTCACAGCCCAAATCTATGGAACTGTTTTGGGCAGGAAAATGTGCTTGCGGTCGGTCATAAAGGGACCTCCAGCTAACTTTTTAACCCCTGATGGATTTGGCTGATTTTTGGTTATGTTTATGTTTTAAGTGTGCTGATTCCAAATATGTAATTATGAAGATGGGATGTGTAGTTTTAAAGTTACAGGGTATGGCTAAAAACTGTATTTTTACTGCCTGTGGTTAATTATGTTAATCTCTTCCCAAACGTCATTTCGTTCAAAGTGGAGAGAATGTTAAAAAAATATATTTTTGTTCGGAGTGTGAGAAATGCTTTTCAGCCGCTTCTAATTTTAAGCATCATTTGAGGAGCCATACAGGAGAGAAACCTTATTTGTGATGTGTTTAGTATTGTTCTGATCAGTTTAATACCTTTCGCGTCTCCTATCAGTGGACGTGTATATGGCAGCCATTTTAGGAACCGCACACCTGGGACCCGAGCAAGGTCACCTCGTTCAACAGGCGACAACATTTGTCCCTGGAAAACTATCCTGGACATTCTGTACAATTTGTAGGGATATGGCAGTGATTTCTGTAACAGGGAGATGGAAGAAGATGCTTGGTCGGTCCTCTTA